ATATTCTGATTTTCTTTGGTAGTACCTTCAATAATATCTTTTAAAGTATTATAAAGATATGTTCGAACTGTAAGACAGATTGAACTACAGTCCACAACTTATTAATGATATCTATTGCTTTACGAGTAGTAGCAGCTATTTTAACGTACTTTGAATTTGATTTCTTTAGACCATCAGCAAATAGATGATAACTATTTCTTAAAGAAGATACAACTCGTGTTCGAATATTATCAAATTGTTGAGGTAATAAAATATCTTTTTCTAATGTTTTTTCTAATATGTTTTTTCAATTCTTCAAAAGATTTTTCGAACTCATCTTCATTTTTACTTTGAAGATAAAGAGGTTTCTACTTTATTATTTATTAAACCGATTATTCCTTGTAATAAATTTTCTTCTATTTTACTAACAATCTTTTGTATAACATTTTCTTGAATCTGTTCCATAATTTTATCCGTCAAAAACTTTCCAATTCCAGCAGTCAACATAGAGAGACCGAAGCTAATTGCTTTTTGTATTGCCCATTCTTTCCAACTAAAAATACCTGATATTAAAGCATTGCCTATCTGAGTCAAACCAAAGACTACTAAAACCGCTTCGGCAATGACTTCAACAAGTCCTATCATTTATCATTGCAACGGCAAAAGCATTCCAATCCCACCAAGATTTATCTTCTTCAATAATCAAAAATTTATTAAGATTAAAACCTTCAAAAAAATCTTAATTCCCTTGGAACATTTTCTTGATCTTGAAGATCTATAAAATCTTTTAAATTAGCTTTTAAACCTTTTTTAAATGAACGAATATCTCCTTGTAAAGACAAAATTAATTCTTTATCATTTTCAAATTGAGTATTTTTTAAAATTTTATTTAAAATTCTTTCAATATTTCTTTTAATATCTCCATATTTATATTTAGCAAGTCCACCAGACTTTGAAATATTTTTTTCTTTTAGATAAATTCGAATATTATTTCCTTCTTCTTCTTTAATAGTAAATGGTAAATCTGTGTTGATAAAAATATTGATTTTGTTGACTAATATTATCTTTTAATTCTATTAAAAATGTTTTAAGATCTTTTGTTTCATGACCATTATCATTAAATTTAATTTTCGCATATTTTTCTTTCTATTGATTGTTCAAATAGAGAAATATTAACTTGTTGTGGATCTATTTTATCTTCTAAATCTTTCCAAACATTTTCATATATCCGTGATAATTCTTTTTCTATTCTATTTATATTTAAAATTTGCCATAATTCTTCACTATAACAAACAATATCGTCGAAATCTTTTTTTTTTCAAAAGAAGATTTACTATTTAATAAACTAATTAATGGATCGGCAATCGAAGGATCAAGATCATTTCGAATTATCTTTTCTATTTTATCTCGTTCTTGTGAATTATTTCGAAATATTTTTCTTATTGTATCTCCTTGAATAATTTCAAATTGAACTAAAAGTGAATATAATTCTTTTCCTTTATCTTGATCTTCACGAGTTAAATTTTGTTCATCTTTTGGATGTAAAAAAAAATGAAATAGTTCTACTGTATCTCCAACAGCTTCTAATTTTCCTGTTATTTGATCTTGATAAAAATTTTTTTTTGAAGAAATTTTTTTGAAGGGTGTGTGAATGTCGGTAGGGGTCTTCTCTTTATCTACACCCACACTCAAATTTGAACTTAGCTCTACACTATTAGAGAACCTAAAGAGAAATCTCTGATCAAAATGCACTTTTTTCTGGAAACGAACTTTCTTCAAAATAAAAGGCAAAGCAACCAGACTATTTAATTTAAATTGATTAAAATAGCTGATTTTCCACATTAATCATTTGAATAAGAAAACAACTATTAATGTCTTCATTCAATTTACTAATTTAATCAAATAAATAACAGACACAATAGATATACAAAGAGGTTAATACAAAAAAAAATCATATTGGATTTCTTCATATGAAAATACTGGCAAAGAGTTCGTCTGTCTTGATATAAAAATTCAAAAATTATTTTCCTCTTATGTAACCATGATCATATGATGCCTGATCTGTTGTACCTAATCATACTAATTGAATCTTGCGATCAGCAGTTCATATGAGTAAGATTTTTGGACAAATGACTATTTGAATTGAACTGAGGTCATTTGAAAAAAGAAACATAAATTAAATTTGAATAAATATTAGAACATAAAGAAAATTGTTTATGAATCCTATCAAAAGACTCATTGATTAATACGTTACAATCGGGAGAAGTTACTTGATATTTTAAACAAAAAACTTTACACAAATATTCTTTAAGCATCAGCATCAATCTGAATTCTATCATATATATCGAATATAAATATGTCAATAAGTCTTTTATTATAAGCCTTTTTATTGATAGAAACTTCTCATAAAAGTGACGAGGAGGATATCATTTCATAGGAGGACGTTTGAAATTTTCTTTAAATATCATTTAGATCAAATTTTTCTTCTACTTTTCAAAGATTCACTTATACTTCTTAACATATGGTTCTTACGAAAATTCTTTTACACGCATAGAATGTTAACACATCTTTATCAAAATTTTTTCATTGAAAGTCTAATGAGAAAAGAAATATATGGTTGATTAATTAATTGATTTATTATTATTGAGATTTCTTTTACAAAATCAAATATTTGATCTATACATAATTTGATTTCTAAAAAAGGCAGAGACACTTTTCAGTCAACGAAATTAACGTACTTCGAGTATAACAAAATATTTTCTTATTATTGTCAACAGATAACAAACTAATTGAAATTATAAGATTTAAATAAATAAATATAAAGCTTAAATAAAGATACCTCATATTCAGATCAATTTTATTAACTAATAATCTTAGTAATTTCCTTTTATACATTATTTTATTATTTTTTTAGTTCAATTATGCATTGTAACAAGCTCTCTTCAAATGAAATGTCTTGCTTGTACATTTTCTCACCTATTATTTACTCACGTTTGTTCACTTTTTTTGGAAAGAAAAACAAAATAAATATCGGAATAAAAGTGTCCCTTTTACAAATACACGATACCTACGTCAGTTCATTGCATAACGAAATCGCCAAAAAAATACCAATTGAACAATATCTATATTGATGCGAGAATTGAATAGTTTTTTATGACTATATTAAGCAATGAAGACCCTTCAATTTGTTCTTTTGTCATATCAATTACGGAAAACAAGACAAATCTAATAAAAAATATTCTAGTCTAGCTATGTATATACCTATTTAATTAATACTTTTTCTAATTGTCTTTATAAAATTATGGAAAACGGATATATGTCCGAATATGCCTGTATTATTTTCAAAAACATCAAAACTTAACGAGAAAAATACATAAATAAGTTGTTAAGTATGTTGTCTTTTTTATGAAACTTCATAACATCTCCATCCAATCGAAACAAAGAATATACCGACCATAATTTGATGAAAGATTTGAATAAACTAAATACTATGAAAACAAAAGGAAGTTCTTTTATCTGTTGAACAATTTTTGTAAGAGAGAAAAAAATAATATGGAATACACGAATACACCTACAATGGTCTATTACTATTATGAAATCATTAGATTGACAAGATTATTTTTTTACTTAGATTTGTTTTTATCGTCTATGAAGTTGTAATCTATAAAAACACAGAATATACTTCATTTAATTCTAAGTATATGATATAATTTCATAGACAGTGATTTTTTCAGTAATTAGAAACAATATTCTATTTCATTGATCAATACTCGGGAATATTTAAACACACTGAATAGATTTGATCAATAACAGCATTTGGTTTTTGGAATTTTCAATGAACAAAACAATTCTGTTCTTCCTTATATTTCTCAATTTTCATGATTCAGTTGATATGATCAAATAACCGATTTCACGTGCGCCTTGTGACAAGCGATGCATTGTTCACGTGGAAAGAAAAAGTTGTCGCAAATGAAGTAAGAACACGGCATTCCTCTTGTCGTTACGCATTGCATTAGATTACGTTCAAAAGAAAGTGGAATATGTAAAAACGATAGCGCTTATAAAATCTAAATTCAATTCCTTCTTTCTACTAACATTTTATCTGATGTAGTTTAGTATAAAAAACTATTCCCAAAAGCTAGAAATAGTATCGTTTCTGTATCACTGTTTTCTATTCATTATCTGTAAAATGAATAATTTTTTTTCCTATAGATACATTTGGAAAAGACAATAAAAACGATAATATATACTGTATAATCAGCTGTATATTTTGAGAGGAATTCATGACTTCTGGTGCATGTGCCTCAACATTCGTTTTGTTTTTTATATATCCACAATCAGGAAATGATTAAATCATATATTGAAAATAATTTTGAGAGTTTTATATTCATCACTATGTCTCTGAATTTATGAATGCAATTGAATACATATATAAAAATCAGTAATACAGGTCATTGATAGTTTGTTGTGATATTTACAGAACGTGCTTATCGAAAAGATTTATTTTATACAGTTATCCTTCATAATAAATGAATGATAGTTACTCCTTTATTACATTTATTGTCTACTCATAATTGATGCATATGGCCAAGAAAATTCAATTTTATCTTATGGCAGATTTTGATGATTATACCCATGTCAATATCTCAACTATTCTTAAAATGAAGATTACATTTTCTACAAAGTTAATATGTTCAATGAATCAGGCTTTGTAATCAAACGAAAAGTCTTCATTAAAATCAACTCGAGTTGATGAATTAACTTGGTTTGGGTCCTTATATAAAGATGAACCATTACAGTACACTAGAAGTTTGGTTATGTACGTGAAACTAAGAAATGTTTAAATCTTTTGTAAAACAGAAAAGAAAGGCAATAATTGATAATTACTTTCTATAGGTATCATCTAATAAATTATAAAATTTTCTGATTATATTTTCTCTTTCTTTTGAAATTTAAAAAGAAAAATAAGGTTACGTTACTCATACAATTTTACGTTTCCTTTTATCTATCAAACGAAAGTATGTAAGGCAAAGTGGAAAAAAAAACTACTAATTCTAAAAATTCATTTTTGAGACAAATACATTTTATATTACGAAATCATTATATTTTGTATTTATCGATAAATAAATACTTGTTCGACTACCCTCACTTATAGAGAAACGTCAATTTTTTTTTATTTTTCGTTTTGCTAGGATTTCATCAATCAATCAGTTTCATTTTGTAGAAGATATTTTGAAAAATAAATTAAAACAACAACTATCATCGAAATGATAAAAAAGGTAGTTTTTGAAGAAGAAATATAAAAAAAACATTTTTTTTAAATTTTTTTCGTTTGTCATCGATATTTCAAGAATATGTTATATTTTTGAGATTTCGAAAAGTTTTATGAGCAAAGACAAAAATAAAACTTTATCTTTCTCCTAAAAATGAAGCATTCATTCATAATAGGGAAATGAGTTAGGAAAATAATTTCTTTTTGTAAAAACAAAGAAGACACCAGAGCGTGAATGACTATTGTATTGTATGTTATCATCATTCAAGTATACCAATTATGATGATTTTAATAAAAGCAAAATAAAACAATATGCATAGAACTTTGAACAATTTTCGATCAAACTTGAAAATTAAATAGAATCATCTCTTATAGAGATCAACAAATGTCATGATATTTCTATAAATATTATCTTAGACGATAATGCAATTATGTAATAACAAAGAAAAAAAACTGAAAATAATTAGCATTAGTTTTTCTGACATATAAAATTTATCGGTAATACTTTTCATTTTAAATAACTATTTATAGAATAATTCTACATGAATTTAATAAACCAAGATTTCCATATGTCAAATACTCATGATCTCGAATGATGGTATAGTTAGACGTAACAAAGTCAGAAAAACAAAAGAAATATCGCCGTGAAAAATGGTCTGAAGGACATGCTTTATTGTAAAATAAAAAAATCTATAGCATTCTTAATACCATCATAATAAAGATTGTCAGTATAATGTTGAATTGAAATTGTTTTGGCTTGTTTCAGAATATTCATTTTGAAAAATATATTCATTTTCTATGAGAAATATACTATAAGTATATCACAAACAAAATAATCTACTCGTATATTGTATTCTTCAATTATTATAACACTATATTTACATCAAACTAATCGATTTAACTCATTTTGTGTAACAAAAAAGTACATGTTGATCGTAAGTGTTTGGACATCGAGAAATGTGTCCCACATAAGATCAAGTATCCTTTTCTGTGGAGAAGATGTAAGAAATACGTATAACATAATGAATATCTGAGTCAGAATTATTATATCTTTTATTGATATAATCAAAGCCAAATTCATTAAACAATGTATGTACCGTTAATCTACGTACTAATGAAAGAGAGATATATACTATAGTACTACATAAATTAATGATTATACGATTGGTATTTTTAATCTCATCCACGCAACAGAATTTTCTATTTTCAGAGAATTGATAGATAGTTTCAAATTCTTTATTATCAAGAGAGAGTAGTTTATTTTTCATCGAGTTATTTGTGTTTCGTGAGACTTTTCATAAAAATGAAATATTCATCCAAAGATAGGAAGGATGACTCGAAAAAAACATATTCTTTTTTGTTTGTTTCATTATTTCGATTGATAATCGGCCAAATTAGTTTATGTTTGCCTCGTTTCACATGAGAAGATAGATCAAAATGAGACGAACATTTTCTTGTTTGAGGAACCATACTTGGAAACCTACTCGAGAAATACTAGAGGTTTTCAAAGTTCTCTCCAGTTGGAATGATTCGAATCACCCTAACTGGTGTAATTCAGATTACTATCTCAAGGCTCTCACCATTTTTATAAAAACTCTAGAGATAAATTTTGTTCGATGTAAGATAGTTGAACAATGATTGAGATAAATCAATTTTTTTGAATAGTGATCTGTATGATACCAAATGGCTACATTCACTATTATAAAATCATCTCGTATTATTGTTAATTTTACTTTCATTGTTACTTTTTTTAAATGCGAAATGACAATATCATAATGAAGATTTCTTATAGCAAAACAAAAAAATAGCTATCGCTGCTCGGCTTTTTCAGCGAAGATCTAAGTGTAGTATTTGTTCTTGTCGATTTGAAAGCCAGCGCTGATTTCATTAGATTTAGGCTCTTTCACGCGGATTTTTGGATATTGGTTGAGATCACCCTAGTTCATTCAGAGTTATGCCATGAATCGTCTTGGCATTACAGTGTCA